TGCCGACTACGATCGTGACACTCGGTCCCAGCCTCAAAACAAAAAAGGGCCTTCTCGTCCATCCCTTCAAGTGACTTCCGCAAGATTTAGGCACAACCTTCCCTCATTGAAGCATCAGCAAAGGTCTGACAGGATGGTGTCTTTGCGTGATTATGAAATTTACGTACTCTTTCTTCTGCTGGTAAAGTTTCACGGGTCAGGTAAGTGTGAAAATTATTCTCCCGTACAAGGGATTTGACAGTATTTTTTACCATGTGCCATTTTAAGCTTAGACATGGAAAACGCTGACCCTTTATTTCTGAACGCGATTTTCGTCAAAATGATTTCTGAACTCCAAGGTGGCTTTCAACAGTTTTTGTATTTCAAAATTTAGATATCTTGTTGGAGTTTTTAATCCCGTGATAAATGAGGTCTGAATAACTATGATGCAATAGAAATCAAGAGCAAAGGGTTTTATGCTTTAAGTGTAACAATACCATACGTTCAGAATTTAACATAAGCATTGAAACTTAGAAGTGCAATATTTTCTTGAATAGTGTGAGTCATCTTTTAAACCATGAGAAAAGTTACTGCTTTGTCAGGTGGCTTTACATTACAAACATAATGGCTATGCAAACCCAGAAGAGAGTTGTCATATGCACATAAACTCTTATCCTTGCCATCCATCACTCATTTTTGAGAAGAGCTGTTACCAATTTTTCCACTCATTATTGGTGTAAATAATGACCTCAGCAAGGATAATTGCTGTTAGCTAAGTTGTGTGTGACTTTTCCTTTAGGTAGCAATCATGTAAAGAAACCACATAATGCACTTGAATGGATAAATGAGCATTGTTTGCTCATATACCAACATGTGGGATTTGTTTACTTGACTGGCTTTTAGCTTTATTCACATTTGATTGTGGTATCCCACAACGTTAGTCGTTGACAACTTATTTTTGTTGTATGATTAAAAACAGATAGAGTTTTAACCATTTGAAATCTTTGTGTAGATGTCTTTGCTTATCATATATGCACTGAGATTTGCTCCAAGCTAAATTGACCAAACAAAAAAGGATTTGTAATGAAATGCACAAGTTCTAATAGGTAGGATGGTTTTTCTCACAATTGAGAAATGGCCATCTGACTTAAACCACAGGATGAAGATGAAATTTTTGACCACTGAAAACAGTAGCATGGGTTTTTTTGCCTTTGTGTTGTGGGAGCTGGCCAAAGTTAATGAAAGTAAATGTTAGCAAGGTTTTCTGGTTACTGACAACTGAATTGTGACTTCAAGGTTGAAAACAAGAAGTCAGCTGGACTTCATGAAAATTTGTGAAAATCATTATGATTTCACCTCTTGGAAACTTATCTCAATCTTTGTCTAAATCTACTATTCTTTTGCATTGATCAATCCCTGACATTTGCAACCCAGGAAACTAAAGTGGAATCTCCTCTAAAATGGTACAAAAGACTTATATGTCCAGATTCTGACTCTCATAAGAAAGCATTGCAATCCACCTTTGTGATTTGATTCATGCTTATGTGAATGAGCGAATATTTATGTTTCAAATTGACTTATCTCAGGCTTCCAATACATGATAGGGTAAAAAAAAAGGGCAAATTTGGCTTTCAGGGTATAATCAAGGATTCTACCAAATCCAATTCTTTTTTGGCAGAACTGCTTCACATAAGAAGTACATTTAGTTCCTGTCTTGCTGTCTTGCTCATAAGTAGAACATCAGAGGGCTTAATGACACAATGGTACATGAACAAAAAAAAGCTGAATTTTCATCTTTCTCTTGTATAAAGCTTTATAGTACAGTGTAAGAAAAATCTGTTCTTTCTGTGAGAAATTAAGGTTTAAAAGGTTGCATGGTTAATTAATAATTCGATGCTATCAAAGCACACTTGGTTGCTGTTTTTGTATTTATTGTGACAGCTGCTTTGGTTATTGTTTTAACCCTTTCACTCCCACAAGTGACCAAGACAGAATTTCTCCTTACAATATCAATACAATATCAAGCAGGCAGGTGATGAGAATAGAGAAGAATATCAATCATGGGATTATTAGTTGATCCAATACCAAATTCTCTGAACTAACATCATAAGAATTGTATGGCAGATAGTAAGGAGAAATACTAATAAGATCTTGGGAGTGAAATGGTTAAGGTGAGGTGAGTAGCTGGTGGCGAACCACTTAAGTGAGCTTGGGGATCAATTTATACAAAAGCACTTAATCAAATCCACCATAATTTTCCATCCTCTACTTAAAAAATAGATTCCATGTTGCTATGCAACTGTTTAGTAGCAGATCACATGTAATGTCAGAATATGGTAAGAACAAAAAAGTGGTACATAAGATGCAGCTTAGCTTGCTCCAGACAGTTATGAAAACAGAGCAGAATAGCAAACAGCACAACAGCAGTAGAGGAGTAAAAAAACAAGGGAGACTACAGCACTGTTTACTATCGTGCTCTGCTTACTTACTGAATGCCTAGAACAAGCTAGGGGCAGTTGAGTGTGTCACTGGTGTTCTTAGCACATTTTGACATCCTCTGTGATTTATAACTGTACAGAGCAATGGCAATGTGGAATCTATTAGTTTTATTTAATAAAGAAGAAAAAAATTGTTAATGGTGAAGTCACCTATGCATTTGTCCTCCAATAGAACATAATTTCATGAAAGAACCAATCAAAATACATGTAGAACTCAGCTTATTATACAAAACCTTATTGATGGTAGAAATGAGGTCAAAGATATTCAAAGATAAAGGAGGCACAGTACAATTTTTGAAAACTGTTGACATCCTTTCTATGACCAAGGTTATAGACAATAGAAAATTGTGTTTGATTTCTTTTTTATTTTGATTTCTATAACATTGGAATTTTTATGCCAGCATAATATGCTAAAGTTTTCGGAAAATCATGCACATGTGACGATTGATCATTGCATTGTTGTTTGTGCTGTCATTGCTGTTTTTACCTTGTGTTATGTGATGACTTCAATGATAAATATTTTAGTAGAATAATTGCTCACTTAGGTGATCACAGGGATGTGCATGCTCTGATTGGTCAAGGATTGCATCATATCTTGCTTTAATCACAGTGCACAGGGTGACCATAGCAGGATCAAGTGGCATGATTTTTTCAGCACTGAACTTTAAAGCCAACAAGAATTTTTTTCTGGTCATCAAGAACACTTGAATGGTTTCTTTTCTGTTGTTTTCTTCTTTCATGCACATCCTATGTGATGTGTAGGATCCCAGGTTGAGAACCTTGTCAAGATCTTTCATGATCATGAAAGATCTTGGATGATCTTGTCAAGATCTTTATCTTGGAAGGATCTTGCCAAGATCTTGGCAAGTTCCTACCAAGATCCTGTCACGATCTTGAACAAGTTGATGTTTGCAAGATCTTGACAAGACACAAACAAAATCTTAACAAGATCTTGCTAGAATCCTGCATCATTTGTTTTTAAAAGTTATGGGTATGAAATCTTGGTGAGATTGACAAGATCTTGACGTCTCTTTAAAAATTGATGTTTGCAAGATCTTGGCAATTGAAAGAAGCAAGATGTCAGCAAGATCTCAAACACTTGGCAAGATCTTGGCAAACCTAGATCTTTTTGAAATCACAACAGACATTGAGAAGATCCTATTCTGCACACATCTTGAACAAATTGATATGTGCAAGATCTTGACCATGCACAATCAGGATCTTGACAAGATCTTGGTAGCATCCAGTATCAGTTTTTTTCAAAAGTTCAGCTTGAAATCTTGGCAAGACCTTGACAAGATCTTAGGTACATGTACCTTGCAAAATCTTGACAAGAAAAGTGCAAGATCGTAGCAAGATTCTGGCAAAATTGTACATCAACTAAATTGAATGACTTTGCAAGGCCTTCAGAAGATGATTTTGCATGATCAAGTTAACAAATTGACGTCAGTTTTCAAATTGACCATCAGTTAAAAGCATCTTTATTTTGCTCATTTGTTGTCTTGTCGTGAACTTTTGTAAAGCCAAATTTACCAAGAGTTGGTTGTCATGGCATCATTTTGAGTAGTTCTTGGCATCAGAGAAAGCCGCACAAGCTGTAACAACCAATGTTTACCACATTACAGTAAACAACGCCATGTAACCCAAGAACACCTTGAGAACGTTTCAGGCTCAGCTCCAAAATGGGACATACTTAGAAGAATGTAATATACCATCTTTGATGTCAACCTTACATGCATCATTGAATTCACAAAATCTTGGAAAGACCTTGGCAAAATCATGCATCATTTAAGAGATGAACACAAAATCTTGGTAAATGCATCCTGTATATTGAAAGCACGCATAATCAAAAAAGGATTATGCCAAAATCTTGGAACATCTTGTGTCACTTATGTTATAATTCACAATCTTGGAAAGAATTTATCAGAAGACCTTGGAGAAGACCTTGGAGAAGTCCTCATCAAGTTCTCACCCAGATCTTCATTGGATCTGACAACAGTCACCGGTAATGATCATGCCTGAAAGTCCTTGGGAAGACATTTTGATTTGGTCTAGGTGAGTTTGTTCAAGGGAAATTTACACACTGGGTGAGTAGGTGAGAGCGTACTTCGTAACCTTCTGGCAAAATATTTTTAAGTTACAATGAAAATTACAAAAATAAAACACTCTATAATAAAAAACAAATTCCTGAAATGCCAAAATTGTATAGCATTACAACACTGGGGTCCTGCAAGGATAAAAAATATTATCACAATATCTAGATATTCTCATGCAAAATTCAGAAGGGGATTACAGCAGTTGTGGTATTGACAATACATTGTTTTCTACCTAAGTAGCTGGGGTTAAAATATCTTATGAAAATTCCTTGCCCCAGCCCTTAACAACAGCCCAGAATTATTGCATTCGTGATTATACTGGAAATTTTGCTTGAATTTAGGGATTGAAAGAAATTCCACATTAATAGTCGAAGGGTATTAAGATACCATTTTATTTTTTTTTCTTAAAAAAAAGAAAGAACTGGGACATGGTAGCAAAGTTTTTATGGGATGCTCCCCACCAGCCGAGTACTCTACAACAAGCTAATGATGCCCCCATTTTTCAGTGACTTTATTCATAGTCTTCACTGCTTCATCTGACTCCTAAGCATGGTGCTATATGTGCATGTGTAGACTTATCAAAATAAGCTAGGGCTCAACTTTTACACAAAATTTATCCGACAATATTTTCACAGAAGATTGTAAAACAAGCTGCAGCTTATCTACAATTTATGTCAGTCATGGGTGTTAGATATGCAAACACATTAGGCTCATCTACCTCGACTTTTACACATTTGGCTACAATATTTTCACAGAAGACTGCACAGAGATGAGGCCCAGGTGGGCCAGCAACTGGAACATGATGACTTCCCAACAATTTAGCATCTGCATATATTTTCACAATTTCATCACTTGGGGGGTTTATGTTTACACTACAGATAGCAGATACCAATATAGGGTATTGCTTTAACAAAGCCAAATGAATTGATCCTGTAGTTACAAATGCCTGCACTTCACCAAAGAGATGTTCAGGTTCAGTCACTTGAGAAAAGAACTGTACAATTTTGCTGCAAGATTTTCCTGCCCTCTTGTATGCAGCTGAGTGGTACACTGTTCCATCTACTGATAATCGTTCTGCAAAACTGTATTCCTTTAATCCATCAATTGGCAGAAGTCCACTATCTGCAAACAGCACATTAACAGCAGCAGCCTCATCATCAGACAAAGTTCTTAGTAATGCTGGTTGTGAAAATGCCACACGACTGGACACCTGATTCCACTTTGACCTAACAGAGATATATTTGAAACTAATGAAAGGGTTGTCTAGACTAATAATAGAATAATTACAATAACGTCGCTGATGAACTCCACAGGATTTTGCCCTTCTATATAGCCTACAATCTCGATGAAATGAAAATTGGGTTCTGAGCATCCAAACATCGTTCATTAAAATGTAGAGATTGACAGTATTACTAAATGTACATTAAATCCACCCCCCTCCCTAAAACAACAACAATCTTTATTTGTACTTAAGATAATTTGGTTTTATCAACTGAATTTATAATGTGAATTGGCCACCGTAAAGAGATTCGAAACGTCAGCTTTCAAATCTCTTTAAGGTGGCCAATTCACATAATCAACCCAGTTGATAAACCAAATTATATTGTTATACTTCCCACCCATGCAGCACCACAGTTTCTTTAGAAAATTACCCCTCCATTAGTTTATTTGTACTCATCCTTTCTCAAAAGATAATTTTGCCAAAGAAAATATTAAACCAGATAACATTGGCATTCAATGTTGAATTTGGGGGGGGGGGGGGTAACCCCATTTTTTACTGTTCTTGCATAAAGAGGCTTTCAAGTTCAATTTTCTCAACAGTTCTGTGCAAGATTGCAGCTTGCCCATTAGCATTAACTGAAGAATGAGCACAAATTGAAGATCAGTTTACTAGTATTTAGTGCCTCCTCATTAAAAAGTTAAACATTGTTTTGTTTTGTGACATTTCATTTAAATATTGTGGGCTTAGTCTCCTGTGCGTTTACAACCTCACACACACGTACAATGAACTTAATGTTGAGTGACTTAAATTTGGATCATGATTTAAGGCCATAACCTGAGGTAACAGCAGTCTATTGCATTAGTTTATTGTTTCTACTTGTACATTTTACCCTGACAAAGTCCTTGGTGTTTCTTGTGTAAGTTGATTATTTACAGAACTACATGTACTACCTAATTAAGCATGAGACAATGTGAAATAATTAAAGGAACAATTGCCAAGAGTGCCAAATTTTGTGAAAACATTTTGCTGTTCAAGAGCTCCTGCTTCACAAAAGTAATAAACAAACACTGAAAGGACAACAAAAACATCTTCAATGTGAAGATGCATATTCACTTCTCTTGTAGATGACACAAGTGTCACACATGTCTTTAACATCACTTAGCTCTGAACTGCACTCATGTACAGCTACAGCTCTTAAGTTATCTCAAGTAAAATGTTTTGCATACCTAGGTTTGGATAAAGACAAACTGGCTGAGAATTGTTTGACACTGGGAGATGTCATCACAGTAGTTTGAAGTTCTTGCTGTAAGGGATGAATCTCTTTGTCAATTAGGTAGTTCGTTACCATCTGCAAAGTTGCAAAATTAACAAAAAAGTGAAATGCTAAAATATGTGACTACAAATATTACTTTGTTTAGTACATTAATTATATAAAACTTGTCTTGGATTGAATGATTATTACTATTATGTACCTGTTCAGCCACTCCTCTCGTACCCTTGAATCCTGTTAGAGTGTGTGCAATCATTGCTTCAAATGCAAATGCTGAATGGGTCC